GGCCGCGACGGACTGCAGGATCTGGGCAAGTCGGTGCAGAAACTAATTTGGCAGGGTGACAATCGTTGGGGTACAGAGGTCGGTACGTGCTGGCCAAGATCGCCGGTGCCTACGCAAGGAAGGTGTGAGTGTTGACGAATGGTTGCATGGCCCGGGGCCACGGTGTGAGAGCATAAGGCCTTCACGCCTTGTTCTTCGTTCTTCTCTTGTTTTGGAAGCCAAGTGCATGGCGAAACGCCGATTTTTTTCAATTCTGCCAAGTGCAATTATGATTCTACCCCTCATCTTGGTCCATTTCTTCAGTCCATCTACGTCTTCGCCAATGCTCTCTCTCTCTCTCTCTCTCTCTCTCTCTCTCTCTCTCTCTCTCTCTCTTTTTGAATGATTGGATAACATAACATCTTCCTCGTATCTGTCCGTGTTTGAGTCACCACCCCGTTTGTCTCTTCTAGTCCGATCGGATCTCACATGTACAAACATCATCGAACTTAAGAGGTTAACAAGCTCACGCTATCTTGCTTGCTTGTTTTTCTTTCTTTGCTGGTTGCGCAATGATTGGTGTGTGTTTGTGGTGAAGAACAACATGTGTGATCTTCTGCCCCATATTTATTGTTTATGCTCGAAGTTTCGTCGGGCAGACTCAGCCGAGCATAAAAACAAGTTGGGAGTGAAGCACTTTTTTGTATGGCTGAATTGCTATCTTGATGACTTGGATGAAATGAGAACTTGGTGTTATTTCCGTTTATGTGGGATTTCTTCATATCTATTTCGTTTGCTCCTTTTCTTCCCTCAATGAATGTCGATACTTGTGTTTTTGATCCCATCAAACGACGGATTGACTAGGCAAACGCTACTAACCGGCTTATGGCATGTGGACCGACCATACCAATCCGACTGGGCGCCAACTCCCCGTATCCCTAAAGCGCCCGTTCCCATATAACATGGAAAGGCCACGTGTATGTGAGTGGGACGTACGAGAAGCGGTCGCAAAGATCGGAGGAAGATATTATTTCCCTCCCGAAACGAGGTGTTCTGGGTTTGTGGGTGCTGGATTTGTTCTCGTCGATACTCATTTTCCGCCTTGTTTCTTATTATTGCCCTTTAACGAGTTGATTGCCATCCCGTGGATGGCGGTGACACCCCATTGGCCCAACATTCTCTGCAGTGATTGTTGCGGCACCGAGCGTTATCCGGAAGGGGGTTCCACTACCGCAGACATTGCAAGGACGAGTTTAAGGAACGAGCAACCCGGCTGCGGCCTTCCACGTCGGATTCCGAGCTCTGCAGTGAGCAACGATGGGACATGATTCGAAAACGAGACCCCACGTGCGTACCCCCGCCTTTCCGTTCTAAAAGACGTCGAGTAGCCCACATGGAAGTTCAGAGTTACTTTTTTTTGGATTAGATGAACGTTTGAAAATTGTGCGCGCCTGTTCCATTCCCGCGCGGCAATGGCCATTTCTCACCAAACACTAGGACCACACGGGAGATTCTTGTTTTGTTCGGGTCTCCACACTCAATTTTCCAAAAACCCTTGGCACACCCCATCTTGCTGTTTCTCAGGGCCTCTTTTCCGCATTTTAATCACTCCAACTGGAAGACAGCACAGGGCGTGAGATTGAACGTCACATATTACTCCCTTTGGAAGGGTGCACCAACCCCTCACCCCTACCTAAGTTAGCCTGATGTTCTAGTCTCCGAACCTGCTCTGATCTGAGCATCATTAGGGCTTGCACTTCCCCTGCAAGACCTGTCCCTCTTGCTCTCCACTACTTTATCAGGCTGTGCCCAGGCGGGAGGTTGAACGTCACATATTACTCCCTTTGGAAGGATGCACCACCACTCACCCCTACCTAAGTTAGTGTGATGTTCTAGTCTCCGAACCTGCTGTAATCTGAGCATTATTAGGGATTGCACTTCCCCTGCAAGACCTGTCCCTCTAGCTTTCCACTACTTTATCAGGCTGTGCCAAGAAATCCAAACTTGTGGTATTTCCTGTCTGTGTCTGGGAATCTCTGGCTACTCCTCAAAGCTTAGCTTATCTGCAAACTATACCGCCTTGACGTAGGTTTTCCAAACCCTAAACCCTAGCGCAGCCGAGTTCTACTTTTTAGTTGCTGCTGTTTTGCTATTTCTTTATTTCTTTCTGCCTGCAAATTTCCTAAGTTAACCTATTGCTGCCGCTTCATTATACCTGGATCTGCCCCTCCCAACTTCTACCCATGGGGGGGGGGGGTCCAATCAGCATCTTCGGCTAGGTGTCGTTGTGCTCCTCTAAGCTATTTGCTGCCTGATGTGCTTACAACCCTAAAGTAATGCGGCACATTCTATTTTATAATGATTTCCTCCATGAGGTATGTTTCCTTTTTGTCTATAGTGCGCTGCCTAGGTTTAATCCGGGGCTGCTCATTGGGTTGTCTTTGACCTATGTGGTTCTGTCTCCTCTCATGTTCTGCTGGAACCTTCTATCCCCTGTTACCTCTCCGTTCCCTAGCCCCTCTGCTATCTCCTTGCTTCCCATATCACTCCTATCTCATACAAGCTGCCTAGTTTTCATCCTCCTGCTCCTATTCCTTGTTGGTTATCTTTCTGACTTCCAGTACCTGAGGACTGCGTAAAAGGTGGGGTGGGCCTCTTCTCATACTAGTCCAGGTCCATTGCAGCAATCCCATCATGCTGTCATCTGTCTATCCGGGTCCTACCTATCCGTCAAGTCTTCTTCCGGTTATTTCTGCTACTGACCCCTCTTTTAGCCATGTCCCTTCAAATTCCTTCTGGGTTCTGGCCTTCTTCAGATTGCCATCTTCTCTATCCATCCTTCCAAGGGCGTGTTTCCATTCCACTGTAATTTCAGCTTCCATAATCCCCTTTGCTTCCTCTCAGGATTCATTGCCAGTTTTTTTTTTTTTTTTTTTTTTTTTTTTTTTTTTAAATAAAAGTCGTGCAGGCTGAGGTATAGGCAGGCCCTAACCTGATGGCCAGTGCTGTAATCACACTCCCACGACACACCCAGGGCAGAGCGGGGCATTCCAAGGCAGGAGACTCCCAATGGTACCCAGTCCCTCATCGACCCTTTCCCCCCCTCAACTGGCTCAAATGAGTGCCGCGATCGAAATCCGCCATATTGGACTCCAGAGAATTTGCATCCCCGGCCGGGTACCCCACGGGGGGACGGCTGTAAGGTTGTGTAGATGTATGCGGGGCCGTGCCCGTTGAGAGTCCTGCTGGCTGTGCCAGTTATGTTCTTGCTTCCTATTGTTCCTGCACACCTAGCTGTCCGGAATACCCATATGGTTGTTTCCCTTAACAGCTCTATAACCGATCTGTCCTCGTCTGGGATTAGGTTCTCCCGCTCTTTGCTGCTAGAGGGAGAAAACTCCGATGGGTATTCAAAGGAAGAGAGCCTGGACCAGACTTTTTTGCATCTGTCCTAGAGGGATTTTGCATGTTGGCGGTTCAGAAGGCAATGTGTTAGAGTTTCCCATTCTTGATCATGGTACATTCAACAGAGCTGGAAGAAGTCAGTTCTGTCTCCTTCCTTGCATCTGGACTCTAGCCAGCCATTGACTGGGACCACCATGTTGATTATCGGCCACCGTAGGCTTCTTACCCAATATAGTCTAATTGATGCGTAGAAGGTCCAAGGTATTGTCTGCAGCCATGCTGGGTCTATTTGGAGGTTCTCATCTTGCAACAATGGCCTGCTGCCGGTTTTCCTCTCTACGCCTTATTTTAATATGTTGTACCCCTTCTTCACTGTGTATTTCTGTAGGGCTATCCATTTTTCAGCTCTGCCTCTCCCTCTATTTCCGTACCAGCCCCATTC